GATAACAGTTCTAGGGAGGGGAAAAAAACCCAGAGAAAACCACAAGAGAGGAAACGGTCAAAGAAATAACACAAAATGACAAAGAATGAAGTGTTATAAATTTGCATATTGAAAGAACTTGCAAGTATCTAGTTTGAGAAATGAAGGGGGGAAAATTCTACATCAAGGTTCATGATTGTTAAATTTCTTAATGCCAGGTATAAAGGAATCATAAAAGTGTCAAAGGGAGTTGAAAACTATATACAAAAGAAACAACAATGAAACTATGGTCTTGGGAAAGGTAGAATAGAGACTTTAGCATTATATAACTTTTAAACCAGATGTTGTTGTTATGTGCCACAGAGTTGCTTCCGACTCATAGTGACCAAATGTAAAACAGCTCTGAACCCTGCTCAATCTTGAGCTACTTTTATTAACTCTGATATACCTATCCCCTTTACCCCAGCCATTAAGTCAATTTACCTCATCCAGGGTCTTTTTCTCTTGCGCTGTCCCACCACCCTTCCAAGCATGATATTCCTCTCCAAGGACTGCTCCCCTCTTCCAACATTCCCACAGCATGTCAGAGGGAACTCCAAAATCCTTGCCTCCAAGAAGCACTTCAGTTTTACCCTCTCCGGGACAGACTTGTTAATTCTCTTCACAGTCCATTCAACAGTCAACTCTAGCACCACAACTCAAAGGCTTTTTATTCTTCTTCTAACATCCTTAGTCATTGACCAGCTCTCACAGCAAGAAACCGCAAAGACCATGGCTTGGATGTGGAGCACCTTAGTCTCCAGACTGACATTGTTGGTCTTCAGTACTCTAGAGAAGTCCCTAACAACAGATTTTCCTAATGCAATTCATCTTTCGATTTCCTGGCTGCTGGTACTAAGAGTGCTGATTGTAGAGCCAAGGAAACGGACATTGTTAACAATCTCAGTCTCTTCCAGGTCTATCGCAATGCTGCCAATTGGCCCAGTGGTTAGAATCTTTGTTTTCTTGATGTTGAGCTTCAATCCATATTGAAGGCTTCAGTCTGTGACCTTCTACACCAAATGCCTCAGGTCTTCAGTTTTGGCAAACAAGGTTATGCTATTTGCATAACGCAAGTTGTTGGTAAGTCTTCCTCCAATCCCAATGTCACATTCCTCCTCCTAGAGCCCAGCCTCCTGGCTGATTTGTTCCACATATAAACTGAAAAAGTATGGAGATAGGATGAATCCCTGGTGTACGCTTTTCCTGATTTTTGAACCATGTAGTGTTTCCTTGCTTTGACAACTGCTTCCTGGTCCACGTATAGGTTTCACATAAGTACAGTAGAGTGTTCTGGAATCTATTGAACATGCAACCAAGATACATTAGTAATAATGTCTGACTGGAATGACAAATTTGGGAATAAGAAAGAAAAATCAGTAGTCAGAAAACATGGTCTTGGTGACAGAAATAAGCCTGGTGATACTGATAGAATTCTGTAAAATCAATGACTTATTCATTACACTATTTATGAAAATGCCTTTTATAAGAAACACAAACAACGACTATACACCATAGACCTCACCTGATGCCCTACATAGAAATCAGACTGATTATATACATGGGGAAAATTGTTGGAGAAGTTCAATATCAGCCGTAAAAATTAGGCTGGGTGCCGATTGTGAATCAGACCATCAACTATTTATATGAAAGTTCAAACTGAAGTTAAAGAAAATCAAAATCTACAAGAACCAAAGTTTGACCTTGTGTCTATGCCTCCTGAATTTAAAGACCATCTCAAGAACAGTTTTGAGACCTTTAATATTAATGAGCAAAGACTAGATGAAGTAAATATGTATTAAGAAGTTCTGATTGTACTTAGCTACAAATCAGCAAAGCTGAAAATTAAATCTAACTTACAGAGAGAAAGATGTGGCAACTGGTATCCCTAAAAATTGTATCAACCATGTTAGAATCTATTTTAACTCAGAGTAACCCTCCATTCTGGAAGGAGGAGCGGCATCCATTTCTGAAATGGCTTGCCTCCGGAAACTCTATGTACGAACAGTGCTCAGGCCGTTCATTCATAGGGTCGCTGTGAGTCGTCTACAACTCGACGGCATCAAACAAACAACCCTCCATTGGGTTTCTGTGCACCATTTAGTCAGTAGTCCAACATAAATGCACTATGCCATTAGGGTTCCCTGGAAATCCCAGAGGGTCACAAGCTGGAATGGACACAAAGGCTTAAAGAAATAGATAAGTAAGTAAACTAAGTGAATAAAATAAATCTAAAATTTACTGAAGCTGAATATACAGGAGCTATTATAGATTGTCTCCCCAGAGAAGAAATGTTTAAATCCTAACCCTTGTCTGAAACGGGGTTTTTGAAGATAATATCTATTAACAAGAGATCATACCAAAGTAAATTGCCATCTGGTGGCCTGGTCAATAGAGAGTTGTGCTGCAAACCAAAGGCAAACAGTTCAAATCCACCAGCTGCTCTATGGGAGAAAGATGAGCAATCTTCTCCCGCCCAATCTGCAGGCTCTGAAAATCTGCTGGAGGGTCAGCTATGAGTCAGTTCTGATTTAATGGTAATTAGTTTGAGTTTGGTTTTCATCTAATCTGAGTGATGTCTTTATACATGAGACTCATTCATTGCTGTTGAGTCAATTCTGACTCAAAACTGACTCCACAACACACAGGTGAAAAAGCCATGGGAGTATAATGCATAGCTACGAGCCAAAGAACACATGGGGCATTGGAGCTGAGAGAATCAATAATCTTCCCCTACAGTCTCTGTAGAGAACAAGGCTGTACCGACACTGTGAATCTGGACTATTAGTCAATGCATTTCAATTGTTTAAGCCATTCACGTTATGGCAGCCCTAGGAAACAAATACAGATTACATATGTTTTAAATATATTAACTCATTTGCATTTCCTAACACCAGGAAGCCCTTAGAGGGTGGAACATCATGTGTTGGACTGCTAAGTGCCAGTAGTATGAATCTCTTAGCTACTCTGTGAGAAAAAGATTGAGTCAACTACCCTCACGGCAACCCTATGACCAGATGGAAATCTTGCCCTGCCCTATACTATCCTTACAACCTCTGCCATGCTCAAGTCCATTATTGTAGTCACTGTGTCAGTTCATCTGAAAGGATAATAATTTACTCACGATCTAATTTACATCAACTAGTAAGTGATGGAGCCAGGGTTCTAGCTTTCTGATGCTGGTGCTTTAAAACTCAAAAGATACTGTTTCTCATCTTTAGAAGGAAAACAAATTTTTTAAAACAAGAAAATAGAATACTATTTTAATGCTCCCTTTCTTGCAACTATGGTCCTAACAACTTTATTTGATTAAAAGTCCTGATCTGGTCAGTCAGGACAAATGCCTAAAGCTATTCCTCCTTAAACCATGCAGATGATGAGCTCACTGGAGTGAGAGTTCACTCAGAAGAACCCGGGGTCTATAATTTTTTAAAAATTAGCTACTTAAACTCCTAAAGGGCTTTCTCCCTCAACCCCCTGCTCTCCTTTCTAAACTGGTCCTGGTGATATGACCCTCAACAAAGAAGGGTGGTGAGAAGGACCATTCTGCTATCAACAAAGTAGTGACCAGAGAGTAAACCATCAACATTCACAAGCACATCCATAAAGGTGGGCTTGAAGGATGCCCTTGAGGCACTCAAGGAAATCTGGAAATTTGCCATGGAGATGGGAATACCAGAAGTTTGCAGTGATACCAGGCTTAACAAAGCCACCTAGATCAAAGAAATAATGTCCCATACTGTATCCGTGTATAGTTGTTCAGAAAACATAAGGAGGATGAAGATTCCCCAGACAAGTTGTATACACTGGTTACCTATGTACCTGTCACAACTTTGAAAAATCTACAGTCAATGTGGATGAAAATGAACAGCTGATTATTAAAGTTATAAAACTGTCAAAATTTAAAAAAAATAATCATAAAGAGCACCATTCTACTCTGACATACACAGGACTCTTATGGAATGACATTTTTAAGCCACAAAAGTACACATGCTTTGGGCTGGTAGAATACAAAGATTAACGGTACCAGAGGCAGTATTTTAAATATTCATTGTAAAATAGACCTTTATGTTATGTGTTTGTGCTCTGTAGCTTAGGAGTTCCAAAGTAAATTCTCTTAACTGCATTATCAATCCCTAAAAAAAAAACAAAAAAAAACCCAACAAACCAAACACCCTTAGATCGCTGATCACTGTACACCTATGCAAAGAACGCAGGTTAAAGAAATTTCATCAGTTTTCAAAACTGAATAGCTATTTGCTTTATAAATTACTTTCATCTGCATTTTTCACCCTCCGAGTGTCTCAAGATAAAGGGAGAGAGAGATTACATTTCAATGGTTTTTTCTTTTTCTCTTTTCTAAGTTACATCTTCATTCAGCTTTAGCATTTCTTGCCTTAAGATACAATATAGTGGCTTCTGAAAACCTCAGGCGACTGTTTAAAAACCCCTCCTACACCATTGGGCCTCCTAGACTATTAGTTCTTCTGCTCAGATGAGGAACTTCTTTCTTTCCATTATGCAGACCTATCATCATAGTCAATTTGATGGCGACGGCATCTAACAACAATATCGACCCTAATTTCTGTTCATCAAGCTCCTTATTCTTTTCTGAGAATGGGTTTGTTTACCTAGGATTTTGTGATTAATGGTTTGGTTTATTAAAGGTGCTGCCTACAGCAACCTTCCAATTCCTGACGCATCAATGACAGCATCATCTGTACTTTCCCAAACACTTGGTAACCAATTGCCAGGCCTACAAGGACTAGTTCTCGTTCACGGGGGTCCGAGACTGCTGCTACAGAGCTTACACAGCGGTAACCTCCTATGTCCAGTGTCACAGTGATTAGTAACAGGCGCCATCAGGAAGGATGTCACACCATTCAATGCCCTCACTGTGCTCAGGTGCAGCACCAGGCGACCGTCCCCTTCAAGTGTCACCTGCCGGCCCGTCCCCGGCGCGCACGCGCTCATGCACATACCGTCTCCTTGGCAGCAGCAACGGGGATGGGGAGCAGTCCCCGGCTGGGAGGAGAGTCCTCCGGCTCTCCTGTCGGGCTCTCCGATGGGTGCCCCGGAGCGGACACGGATTCGACCCTGGGGTCCCCATATAGCTGATAACACAGCAGACCGACCAGACCCCCACCGGCCGCCGCCGCGATGCTCAACTCCCCCCAGCGCCGCCGCCGCCTCCAAGCCGCCTCAGCTACAGCCCCCTCTTCCTCTTCCTTGCAGGAGAAAGGCCGGCTAGCAGGGTTGGGAGCTATCCCCACAGGCCGCCCCCAATGTCCAGGCGAGGGCTGGTGCGGGGAAAGCGGAGGCGAGAGCCGCGGCGGCGGCCAAAGTAACCTTCGCAGCGCAGCCATAGCTGCAGCCGCCAGCACTAGAGCTTGAAAGGGGCGGGGGTGGAGTCGAGGTGGGAGGGAGCCGCCGAAACCTCGCGAGATGTCGACTGCAGCATGGTTTGGACTGGCCGCCTTAGGAGAGCGGACCCTGCGGACACGGGGCTTCTGTACTGCTGGGGCGTTTTTGTGCGAGGTTATCGGGTGTCTCGGCCCGGGGAGGGCTGCTTCTGGTCCCCGCAGTCCCAGCTCAAGCCCGCGGTCATAAATAAGTGCACTTGCACCCAGTGGCACCTGCTTGTGCGGGAACCCAACACCACGGAGTACAGCCGAGTCAGCAGAACCCGCGGTGCGGAGCTCTGTGGCACCCACTGATAGGACGGTCGGCCCCTGTGGTTTTTTCAGGGCTCGTCTCCCCAATAAATGTTTTAACTGTGCAATAGCAGCTTCTAGACTTGAGAGAAGGGAGCACAGTGAATGCTGCTTGTTTTGTGTTTTAGTTACCGTTTAATATTTTTAGGATCATGAGCATATTTAAAGCAATTAGCAAAGAGCTATCTAGTATGTGAAACTGTGATTGTTTTCTTCTTAATTAAGAAAATGGAATATATCCTCACATGGAGGATGGCTGTTGGCATGCCAACTCAAAGGTAAAAGGTTCTAAACTACCAGCAACTCCGCTGTAGAAAGATGGGCGGTCTCTCATGCAATTTTCAGCCTCTGAAAACCCATTAGAGAATCGGCTATGAAATCTGTTCCAACTCTACAGTAATAAGTTTAGTTGTTATGATGTTAGGTGCCATTTAGTCAGAAACAACAACTAGCCGACCAGAGACAATAAATCACTGTATCCTGTGCCAATCGCATTGCCTCTGACACACCCATCCCGATTACCCCAGTCACTGAATAAATCCATCTCATAGAGGGTCTTCCCCTCCTGCACTGTCCCTCCACCCTACCAAGCATAACGTCCCTCTCCAAGGACTTGTCTTTCCTTACAACATGTCCAAAGTATGTCAGACGAAGCCCCAGAATCCTTGCCTCCAAGAAGTAGCCTGGTTTAACCCTCTCCAGGATGAATCCGTTTGTTTTCTTGGCAGTCCAGGGTATATTCAATACTCTTCTCCAGCACCACAGCTAAAAGGCATCAATTCTCCTTCTATCCTCCCTAGTCATTGTCCAACTCTGATGCATAACAAGTCATTGCAAAGACCATGGCCTGTATCAGGCACACCTTAGTCTCCAAAGACACCGTTGCTCTTGAGTACTTTAGAGAGGTTCCTAACAGCAGACTTTCCCATTGCAATATGTTTTTTTTATTTCCTGGCTGCTGGTGCCAAGAGTGTTGACCGTGGAGCCAAGCAAACTGAAGCTGTGAACAATCTCAATCTCTTCGCCATCCATCCTGATGCTACCAATTGGTCCAGTGGTGAGAATCTTTGTCTTCTTGACATTGAGCCTCAGTCCATACTGAAGGCTGCAGCCCTTGACCCTCTGCAGCAAGTGCATGAAGTCCTCCTCAGTTCCGGCAAGCAGGGTTGTGTCATCTGCATAACACAGATTGTTAATAGATCTTCCACCAATCCTGATGCCACAATTCTCCTCATAGAGCCCAGCCTCCAGGATAATCTGCTCTGCATACATGTTGAAAAGGTATGGAGATAGGACACATCCCTGGCTTACACCCTTCCCAATTTTGAACCTTGAATGCATGTTTATTAAATTATGGGAAGAAGGCTGTTACTTACTGTAGATGCAAGGGAGGTTTACAGCTTTGGAAGCCCAGTGAAAGGTTGCCATGAGTCAGAATCAACTCCATAGTTGTTTTGATAATACTGGAATCTCCTTTCATGTCATCATTGGCCTGGTCCTGCTTGAGCCTTCCACGGGGTATAGGCCTGTTGATCCTCTGGCGAGTGCCAGCACAGCCATGTCAAAGGTCAGTGACTTGACCAGCTATATTTCCCATTATGTTCTTACAAATTATACTAATAACACCAATCAAACTGTTCAGTCCTACACACTTGACAATAACATTTAAAGACAAACAGTAGTCTCACTCTGATCATTACTCCTTTCCATTCTGAATTACATGATGTCCAGGGTCTGCTCTGATAATGTCTTAGTGTCTGTTTCTTGTTGTTTAGGGTCTTCAAATGCCTCTGGTCTCTACCTTCCATTTATCAGCACAGCCTTGTTATGTATTTAGAAGCAAGTTTTACAATAAAGTCTCTTACCTGGAAACCAATTTTCCCCCTCAATTTGATATATAATCATTAAAACTTCTGTGATCATAAAAGTCTGTTTTCTGGTGGAGGAGTGCCTTAGAGTTGTATTTACATGAGTGGTCATCCATTTGGAAAAAATGGCAATAGGATGAAAGTCCAAGTCATTGCTGTGAATAGACTTGTAGCTACCCCTCTGGATGGTTTTCCAAAACATTAAAATATACAGGAGGAGATTGCCCATGTTTATTTCTCGGAGCCTCTGGTAGATTCAAATCGCCAGAGAGACTTGACTGAAAAGTCAAGCCCCCTACTGACTGTGTCACCAGAGATTCCAGTCATTACGATAACTAAATAATCTTTTTAAACTTTGGCTTATAATACCCACAAAGTCAAGCATGTGCATATGCCATGATTGATCAATTCCACTTCAAGGTGGAATGCTCACAGAAATAAGTATTTATGTACTGCAAAAGACATAAGAGGAATATGCCAAGCAAAATTATTTATCATTTTCCAAAACCTAAAAATAATTTATAAACCCATCAATATTGGTGTGGATAAAACAATGTGTTATGTTCATACAATTGAATGCTACATAGCAATAAGATTTACTAAATAAACCATGTAATCATGTGATCACTACTCCTCAATAATTTGGAAAGGTCCTGTTTGTACCAAGGGTATTGTGGGTCCAAGCAAGAGGAAACTGTTGACAGTTTCAATCTCCTCTCCTTCCATCAAGACACTACCTATTGGTCCAGTGGAAAGAATCTTTGTTTTCTTGATATTGAGACACAATCCACACTGAAGGTTGCATTCCTTGATCTTCTCAACAAGTGCTTCAAATCCTCCTCACTTTCAGCAAGCACTGTTGTGTCATCTGCATAACACAGGTTATTGATGAGTCTCCCTCCAATCCTGATGCCACATTCCTCTTCATAGAGTCCAGATTCTCAGATGATTTGCTCAGCATATAGATTGAACAGGTATGGAGAAAGAATACAACCCTGACACACTCCCTTCACAATTCCAAACCATGCACTGCTTCCCTGCTCCATTCCGATAACAGCTTCCTGATCCAGGTGCAGGTTCCACGTGAGCACAATCAAGTGCTCTGGGATTCCCATTCTGGTCAATGTCAGCTACAACATGTCATGATCCACACAGTGAAACTCCTTTGCATAGTCAATAAAGCACAAATATACATTCTACTGGTATTCCTTACTTTCAGTCAAGATCCATCTGATATCAGCAATAATATCCCTGGTGCCACAGCCTCTTCTAAATACCTCTTGAACTTCTAGCATTCCCTATCTATGTACTGTTCCAGCAATTTTTTAATGATCTTCAGCAGTATTTTGCTTGCATGTGATATTTTTCGATAATTTATACATCCAGTTGGATCACCCTTCTTGGGAATGGGAACCAATATAGACCTCTTCCAATCCATTGGTCAGACAGCTGTCCTCCAGATTTCCTGGCATAGACTGGTGCATTCAAGGCTGTATCTGTTAATTGTAGCAAGTTGATTGATATCCCATCAATTTCAGGGGCCTTATTTTTTGTCAATGCCTTCAACGCAGCTTCAACTTCCTCTTTCATTACCATTGGCTCCTACTCATATGGTACTTCCTGAAGGTTTTCGGTGTCAACCAATTCTTTCTGGTACAGTTACTCTGTGTATTTCCTCAATCTTCTTTTGATACTTTCTGTGTCAATATATTGCCAAAACATCTTTCATTATTGCAACATGAAGCTTAAATTTGTTTTTCCAGTTCGTTCAGCTTGAGAAATACTGAGCAAATTCTTCCCTATTTATTCTCCAACTCCAGCTTTTTGTAATTAGGTACCTTTCCAAATTGTTGAAGAGTAATGAAGTCAGTTTGAGGACTAAGGAGCATCTAATTCAGGCCATAGTCTTTCTGATTTCTAGCTATGCACCCGAGACCAGGACAATGAATAAGGATAACAGAAAAAGAATTGATGCCTTGGAGCTGTGGTGTTGGAGAAGAGTACTGAACATCCCATGGATAGCCAAGTGAAAGAACAGATAAGTCTTGGAGATGGTGCAGCCAGAGGGTTCTTTGGAGGCAAGAATGATGATGCTTTACCTCACAAACTTTGGACATGTTGCTAGGAGGTACTATTCCTTGGAAAAGGATATGGTGTTGAAAAGAGTGGAGAGGTGGCGAAGGAAAAGGAAGACCCTCAACCAGGTGGATTGATAAGGTGACTGCTGCAATGGATTCGGCAGGTATGTCAGGAAGTGTGAGGATAGAACAGCACAGGACTGGGTTCATATCTTTTGTTCTGTGAGTTTCTATGTGTCGTACTCTACTTGGTGGCACCTATACAACAACAATTATGTGGATAAATCTCACAAGCATAAAGCTGAGATGAAACTGATGAGTAAAAAACAACTTATGTTATACTGCAGCAAACAACAAATGCTGATGAGATTATGGAGATATTGGAACATTCATTCATTCACCACTGGTGGGAATATAAAATGGTGCAACTACTATGGAATGCAGTATGGAGCTTTCTCAAAAAGTTGGAAATAGAAAAACCATTTGACCTAGCAATTCTACAATTAGGAATATACCCTAAAGAAACCAGAGCTGCCACCCAAACAGATATATGCACACCCATGTTTATTGCTGCATTATTCACAATAGCAAAGAAATGGAAACAACCCAAATGCCCATCAAGAAATAAATGGATAGGGATAATATGGCAATATTTTCACAATGAAATAATAGACAGCACTGAAAAGCATGGTACTCATAAAATATTACACAACTTGAATGAGCCTGCAGGGCATT